CATAAAAGTGAAATTGATAAATCCCTAGCAAGATTGACAAAGATAAAAAAGAAGACACAAATCACCAATATCAGGAATAAAACAAAGGGTATAATTAAAGATCTTGTAGCAATTAAAAGGATAAATTTAACTTTACATTAATAAATTCAACAACTTAGAAGAGATGAACCAATCCTATAAGACTTATAAACTACCAAAACTTAGCCAGGTTGAAATAGACATCTTAAATTGTCCTAAAACTATTTTAAAAGTTGAATTTGTGATTCAAAGACTATTGAAAATCTCTAGGCCTAGATGATTTTACTGGAAAATTTTACCAAACATTCAAAGAAGAATTAACACCAATTTGATAAAATGCTACAATCTGTTCCCAGAAGTAGTTGTGGAGTGAATACTCATCAACTCATTTTGAGACTGTATTACCCTAATGCTATAACCAGACAAAGACAGCACAGAAAAAGCAAACTTTAGACCAGTATCTTTGATGAAGTTAAATACAAAAATCCTCAGTAAAATTTTAGTAAATTATATCTAGCCCCAACCAAGTGGAATTTAGTCTATATGTACAAGTATTTTACAGTATTAAAAAAGTCAATGTAATCTACCATATCAAGAGCCTAAAGAAGGAAATTCATGTGATTACATCAATTGATACAAATAATATTTTGAAAAAATTCACACATTTATGATTAAAAAAAATAACTCCCAGCACAATAGAAATAGCGGGTAATGTTTTCAACCTCATAATAGGCATCTGCAAAAACAGGTAGAAGACTGAATGATTTCACTCTACAGTTAGGGAAAAGGCAATCATGTAACTTTTACCACTCATATTTGACATTGTACTGTAAATTGTAGTTACTACAATAAAGCAAGAAAAAGAAAAGGCATACAGAATTGAAAAGATAAAGTTGTTGCTATTGCCAGTTGATATGATTATCTGCATGGGAAATCCCAAAGGATTCTACAAAAATACTCCTGGAACTAAAAAGTTAATTCATTATAGTTGCAAGATACCAGATCAGTACACAAAAATCAATTGGATTTATATATATTGACAATGAGCAAATGGAGACTCATTAAAAAAAAGTAATGCCATTTACAGTTGTTCCAAAGAATATGAAAAAAGAATTCTAACAAAAGATATGAAAGATTAAATGCAATTAAATGACAAAATGCTGATGAAAAAAATCTAAGAAGACCTAAATACTTGGAGAGATACATTGTTAATGAATCAGACTACTCATAATAGTAAAAATGGCAATTCTTGTTAAATTGATCTGTAGAGTTAAGGCAATTCTTACTAAAATCTCTGAAAATATATATATATTTTAATATAGACAGGCTTATTTTAAAATTTATGTGGAAAGAGAAAGACCTTAAACAATTTTGAAGGAGAAATTGGAAAGAATCACTCTTTCTAATATTAAGACTAACTTATGGCTACAGTAATCAAAACAGCATAGTAGTGGCAAAGGGATAGACACACAGATCGGTGGAACAGTATGGAGAGCCCCAAAATAGATGCACACAGATGTGTATGCCTAACTGATTCTTGACAAATGAATAACAGCAATTCAGCGGAGGTGGGGTAGCCTTTTCAATATTATTGTGGAAGGAACTGGACATCCATAAGCTCTATCCATCTATCAACCTTGACCTAATCCTCAAACCATATAAAATAATTACCTCAAAACAGATTATGGTCTTTCATATAAAACATAAATCTGCAAAACTTCTAGTAAAAAGAGAAAATTTTGGGACCTAGTGCTAAGCAAAGACTTATTAGACTTGACACCAAGAGTATAATCCAAAGAAGGAAAAGTTGATAAACCAGGCTTTGTCAACATTTAAAAATTTGGCTCTGCAAAAGACTCTGTTAAGAGCAAGAAAATACAAAATACAGATTGAGAGAAATATTTGTACAGCACTTATCCAACAAAGGGCTTATATTTAGAAAATATAAAGAAGCATCAAAACTTAAAAACATTTAAAAATCCAGTAAAATTTATATAAAACATTTCACCAAAGAGGACATACAGATGGCAGGTAACACATGAAAAGATATCCGAATCATTTGGGAAATGCAAACTTAAACCAAAATGACATTATCACCACACACCTATCAAAATGGCTACAATAAAAAAAAATAGTGATAAAACCAAATGCTGATGAAGTTTTGGAGAAACCATTATTGTTTGGAAGGTAAAAATGATACAGCCATTGTGCAAAATAGTTTCACAGTTCTTTTTTAAACTAAAAATGGACTTCATACCAAGAACCAGCAATTTCATTCTAGTGCATGTGTTTCAGAGAAAAGAAAACTTATTGTCACTTACATTCATGAGTATTCACAGAAACTTTATGTGTAATAGCAAAAAACTTAAAATTACCCAAATGCCTTTTAATGGGTGAATGAATGAACAGACTATATCATAACACTGTATCCACACTATGGAATGCTACTTTGCAATGAAAATCATGGAATGAACTATTGATGCATTGCAATACTGTGGATGTACCAAATATAATTATATTGAGTGAAAACAGTCTCAAAAAGGATACATATTGTTTGAGTCTGTGTAGAAATTATGATGTATAATTATCAAGATGGAGAACAGTTTAGTGGTTGATGGGTTAGGGAAGGAAGAGTGAATTTGGCTATGAAGTGTTCCAGTAATAATACAGCTAAGTGTCTTGATTAGGGTGGAGTTACATAAGATGACCTGAGTGACAAAATTGTATAGAGCACAGGCACAGATACAAGATTATGTCTATAATTTGAATCAGTGTCAGTTTCCTGGTTTTGATGGTGTAACGTAGTTATGCAAGATGATAAATTTGGGAAAGGCTGGGCGAAGGAGGGCACAGGACCTCCCCATATATTCTTTTCACCTGTCTGTGGATCTATAATATGTCAAACTAAAAAGTTTTAAAAACTTCCGAGTAACTCAGATTCTTGTATTTCTCAAATATGAAAGGAAGATACATCTCTAGCAATACTCAGTTCACTACCACCCACTCCCCTTAACTTTGTAGATATTCCCATAAGCCTTTTCAGAATTTATCTTGCATATTTGCCAGCACTGTTTATTTCTTGTTTTCCTTCACCACCCCAACTCTTTGACATGTGTGTATGTATGTGTGTGTGTGTGTGTATATATATATGTATATATATCCCAAAAGCTGAAATACTGATAAGATATTGCAAGGAGTTTCTTGAAGAGGGGAGCAAACTGAGTGAGTGAAGGCCTTTTGTCATGCTGCAAAAGAAGAAAGCCAGGGCATGCTCATACAGTAAGACTTTTTTACTTTGGTACACCCAAGAAGTGGATGTTCTTATGCCTAGACTTAATAATATTAAGCAGTTTTGTTTTAAGATCAGCAATGTTTATGTGATATTCACAAAAATATGAACTGGCAGATTTCAGAGTCTGTATGTATTTCGTGTTCTTAGCTAAAATATACTGCCCTTCCACCATTATAATGCACTCTAATGAGTGCTACTGTGAGAGGTATATATAAAGAAATGGTATGGAAGGTCAAAGGAAGCACACTTAACTCCCTAGAGAAGGTTTTGAAGAGGCTTACAGGGTAAGATACTTGGTTTGAGTTTTGGAAGATGAGTAGAGTTAGCCGTCTTAAAGAATGAGTGAGATCATGATACAGTCTACAAACCACAAGTATTTGTTATAGCTGGAATGTAGAATTTATGACGGACCAGTGGCAGAGGTGAGACTAGAAATGGCTAGATCACAAATGGCTTTAGCTGCCATTCAATAGAATGTGGATTAAAGTCTGAAGATAAGGGTAACCATTGAAGGATTTGTGTGGGATTTGATGTGAAAGAGAAGGGTTACTCTCAGGGCATTGTAGAGAATGGAATTGTAGGATGTGAGACTAGAGGTAAGATAAGTTGGGAAACTCTTTTACCAATTTAAGAGTCAAAAGAGGCTGAGCTAAGGCAGAAACTGAAATAATAAACCATAGAATTATTGGGAGATAGAATTGGTAATTTGACACATTTGAGTATAGTAGGTAAGACGCAAATATAATTCCTAGTGTGCTGACTTGAGTGGCTGATCATGTTCAGTAACTGAACTGGGAATAAGATTATGTAGTAAAAAGGATAAAGTCAGGTTTATAAATTATCTGAGGTAGCTTTGCTGCATAAGAGTGGAGCTGCTCAGATGTCAGTTTAACATGCACAGAAACCTGTAGTTAAAGAGAAAGGGGATACCAGGTTGGAAATCAGCAGCATATGTTAAAGCCTGGGGATGGGAAGAGAAGGAGGGCCGGAAAATGAAACTCTAGAAAATGTTGACATTCAGCAACGAGCCAAAGAGAGGAAAGCCTGTGAGAAATAGTGACCATTGGAAGAACTCAAGAGAGAGTGAGTGCCATTATAAATATCGAAAAAGAAGAGAGACTTTTTAAAAATGTGTGAATTAGAGAACATTTATATAGTGGAGTGTTATAAATAGTATATAGTCACTTAAGAATAGTGTTTGTAAGTAGTATTAAATGGACGTGGGAAGAGACTTAGGATATAATATTATCTGGATAACTAGTAAAATGCCAGTTTTATAAAAATAAACATGTATGTATTATACATATGCAGAGAAGGAAATTCTCAGATGCAGAATTATAAATGATTCACATTTTCTTTATGTTTAAATAAATTTTCTATAATATGTATATATTATGACAGAAAAATACATATATAAATTAAGTGTAAATTAAGTGGATTCCGTCAAAACTAATTTAATTTCCAGTGGAAGTGTTAAATGCAGAAATCACCCCAAAAGAGTTTATTTGAATTGTGTAGCAGGTAGTCATTGGTGACTTCAGAAAATTTTCATCATAATGGGATCAGAAACTAGATTGTGGTGAGCTAAAAAGTGACTGGGAAGCAGGAAAATTGAGATGATAAATATAAAAAGCACATGTTCAATAAGCCAATAGAAAGGCATTTGACAGGGTAGTGCGACTAGAGTTTTTTTAAGGGAGGAACTTGAAGTATGCTAAAGGAAGAGAAAGTATATAAACTATGTTCAAAAATGAGTCTGTTTGTGTTTGGGTACGACCATTTGCAGTATAGTCACTGAACCTGCCTGAGTGCAAAGAGTTTGATTAAGATTTGTTCATTAATATACAACACATTTGTTGAATTCAGAAAAAGTGATCTCAAATATCTTTGTATGTGTTTAGTATGTGTACAGACATGTTGAAATGGATTGGCTGTTTGTAGAAGAAAAATTTGGTTTGGGGTTTAGCTAACCTCCAAAGCAGTGATTAAAAAGAAAACCCTCTTAAACGAGTAATTCAAAGATAGCTGGTCTCTATTTTGAATAATTGTATTTGGGGCTTAAATGCTTCCTTCTGTTCTCACTGAAGATACATTTCAAGTTGGCATAGGAAAATACCAGGGTTTGTTACCAGTTTATCATCAAGAAATGATCAGTATTTGCCAAAAGAAATAAAGTAGCACCTGGATGTTCCTTGGTAAGATAATAATGTAGCCATAGTCATTCTTTAAACTTAGTACATTAAATGATAAACAGGGAATCCTGCAAAACCTGGCAGCTATATATGGAGGCAGGCCCAGCTCTTCAAGAGGAGGGAAGCCAAGAAACAAAGAGGAAGAGGTATGCCTCCCGCATGTTCGCTACCTCCATCACATAGCCGTTTTTGAATTTATTGCCTTCTTTTCTTGCATGGTTTAAATTCTTAACAATTATTTGAAGATTTTGTAGGTCTAGAGGGACCTGTTAATATATTTTTGACTGACATACTGTGTCTTAATTTGCCCCATAACTTATTCAGTATTATGATTTCAATTTCTTTTCTTTTGATTAAAAATTTATAATTTTATGATGTATTTCTTCCTTTTCAGAAGTAAATTGTTCTAAATTAAACACTTGAAAGCTAATATTACATTTCCATTAACCAGATTTCAGAACTTTTATTTCTTGTATTCAAATTAACACTGTTCATTAAATTTTTAAAAATTTATCAGTAAAAATGTCAATAGCTTTACTTTTACATTATTATGTAGGGGTTTTTGCCTCTTTCTAGGTTTATCTGGCACGACTGAGGCAAATAAGACTACAGAATTTCAATGAGCGCCAGCAGATTAAAGCCAAACTTCGTGGTGAAAAGGTAAGTTGAAAAGCAATTTTTTCGAAGAAATTGAATGATATTGTAATAGATTAACATTTAAAATGCTGTGCCATTAACAACACCACCAAAAAAAACTGATGACAGTGGAAGTTCAAAGATCAGAAAACTACACATAAAGTAAATCTTATGTATATGATTTCAGATTAGTAAGACCATTTGTTCCAGAAGAATTCAGAGAGGAAAATACAACTAGTATTCATGGGACGATTAAATGCATTTTATATCATTATCTTTTTGTTCCATTGTTCTTAAAGGCTTGATAGTTGTGTAGAGAGTTCAGTTGTAGCTTTAGGGGAGAACTAAAAGCCTTAAATGATTTCCATTTTGTATTTTTAGATTTTAGTTTATTCATTGTTATCTTTCACAGAACTCTGTGCCCAATTTGATGATTCTGTCCTAAGTGATTTGTTTGTCTGCTTATTTTGTAGAAAGAAGCCAATCGTTGTGAAGGACAAGAAGGAAATGGAGAGGCTGACATGAGGCGCAAAAAAATCGAATCACTGAAGGTATAGACTAGAATGATACAGGTTTTCTTAGAGAACACTGAAAGCTGAGATAGAAAATTGTGTTGCTAAGTTTTGCAGTTAAATCACTTTATTCTCTTCCTTTAATTTTTCTCTCCTTTTTATCTTCTACGTTTTGGTTTCTAAAAATAATATTTCTCCTTTTTGTATTATTTTTATGAAGATAGATAAAACCATGGCATAAATACATGAAACCATCATACAAGTAATCTTGAAAAAAATGGTAGCCTTAAAAATGAAAAATATACAGATATACATTTCCATGCAGGTAAATGAAGTCTATGTATAATTGTTATAAATTTTTACATTTTAATTTCCATTCAAATATACCGGCATTTGTTTCCACTCAGCAAGTATTTATTGAACACCTGCTGTATGTCAAGGCTGGTTCTAGGAGCAAGAGATTTAGAGTGAGCTTACATTTATTCTAAGACCACATGCACACTTCTTTTTTGGTCAATAAGTAAATACCTTCATAGACCTGGCAAAAAAAAAAAAAAAAAAACCCTATGCCCTTATATCTGCTAACTCATTTTGTTGTTTGTTTTTATTTTTAGGCCCATGCAAATGCACGTGCTGCTGTACTAAAAGAACAACTAGAGCGAAAGAGAAAGGAAGCTTATGAGAGAGAAAAGAAAGTGTGGGAAGAGCATGTAAGATTTAGCTCCTATTCTTCATCCTGGTTGTGTTAACATTTTTATAGCTCTTCCTGGGTAGTTCATCAGTATTATGATTTTCTAATTCTTTTTATTTTGTGTTTTTTTTCATTCTCATTCTCTCTCACCCTTTGTCTTTACCTCTCTTTCTCAGTCTGTCTCTCTCTATCTCTTTCATTTAAGAATAATCTGCATGGAAGCTATTTGGGAGATTGATCTGAAGTCAGAACCTAATTTATTTTATGTTTAAATTTTTAATTATTGCCAAGTAGCTTATCAAAATCCCAGCATAATTGAATGACTACGTCGTCCTTCTGCCACTGATTTATAATGCTACTTGTAAGATTTATTAAATTCCTATATATACTAGTGAGTGAATTTATAGCAAGTAGGAATCAAGCTATATCTTCCTTTGATTTTTCTACTTTGCTCCATTACTCTGTCTTTTCTGCCAATACCTTAATGTATTGGTAATTACAGATTTAGAATATGCTTTAATTTCTGTATAATGCATTCCTCATTTCCCCTTAACTCCTTTCTACACTTATTATTCTTAGTTATTTGCTCATTTTCTTTACCAGATAAATTTTTAGGGTATTTCTTCTTCCTTTTTCTCTTCTTTCAATCCTCTTGTACTTTTGGTTAGTATTATATTAAACCTCCAAGTTAACTTAAGAAGAATTGACATAGTTATAGTAGTTTGTATACATGAACTTGTTAGAGTTCTACATTTATTCACTGTTTCTTTTCTATCTCTTACACAAATTTTGATCATTTTTCACACTTACCTGTTGTATTTATAGTTTCTAATTTCATTTCAATCTTTAAAGATTTTTTTCTTAACAGAATATTGCTACTATTTGCAGACATTTTAGGTTTTTGCTTATCCTCTTATCTAGTAAGTTTTCCTGTTCTAACAATTTTCAGTTAATTTTCTGAGTTTTAGCACGCAACTAGATCATTGGCAAATAGTTATGATATACATTATAGTAACAACAGTTCCTTTAGTTTATTGCTTATTGTATGCCAGGCATATTGTAACCACTCTACTGTTGACCCATAAACAATGTGGTGGTTGGGGCACTGGCCCCATGCACAGTCAAAAATTCACATATAGCATTTGACTTCCACAGACTTTACCACTGATAGCCTACTGTTGATCTGCATTCTTACCAATAACATAGAGTAATATATTTTTTGTACATTATATGTATTATATACTGTATTGTTACAACAAAACTAGAGAAAAAAATGTTATTAAGAAAATCATAAGAGAAAGAAAATATATTTACTATTCTTTTGTTTTTTGAGATGGAGTCTTGCACTGTTGCCTGGGCTGGAGTGCAGTGACACAATCTCGGCTCACTGCAACCTCCACCTCCCAGGTTCAAGCAATTTTTCTTTTCTCAGCCTCCCACGTAGCTGGGATTACAGGTGCCTACCACGACACCCAGCTAATTTTTTGTACTTTTGGTAGAGATGGGGTTTCACTATGTTGGTCAGGCTGGTCTCGGATTCCTGACCTTGTGATGCACCTACTTTGGCCTCCCAAAGTTCTGGGATTATAGGCGTAAGCCACCACGCCTGATCTATATTTACTATTCTTTAAATGGAAGGGGATCATCATAAAGGTCATCATCCTCCTTATTTTCAGGTGGAGTAGTCTGAGGAAGGAGAAGTAAGAGGGTTGGTCTTGCTGTCTCGGGTGGCAAAAGCAGAAAAAAAATCCATGTGTAAGTGGACTTGTGCTGGTCAAACCTGTGTTGTTCAAGGATTAACTATATATATTTTTTAATCCTTACAACTTTACAAAGCAAGGATAGAAAGGGTAAAGTAATTATATAAGATCATATTTCCAACTAAGGGCAGAACAAAGATTTGAACCTGTATCTGCCCAATGTTGAAGTCTTTTTCTTATGCTGTTTCCGCTGCTTTCTGTAAGTTGTGCCTTAAAAAAAATTTTTTTTTAACTTTTAATTTTTGTAAGTACATAGTAGATGAATATATTTATGGGATACATGAGACATTTTAATATAGAATGTGTACTAATCACATTAGAGTAAATGGGATATCTGTCACCTCAAATTTATCCTTTCTTTGCATTTCGAACAATCCAGTTATACTTTTAGTTATTTTTAAATGCACAGTAAAGTATTGTTGACTGTAGTCACACTGTTGTGCTGTCAAATCCTGGATCTTACTGATTTTATCTGACAATATTTTTGTACCCATTAACCATTCCTACTTTCATGTGCCCACTACCCTGACCAGCTTTTAGTAAGTATGGTGATCTGTTTCCATGAATTCAATTGTTTTAATTCTTTCAGTTTCCACAAATAAGCGAGAACCTGCACAGTTTGTCTTTCTGTGCCTGGCGTATTTCACCTAACTTAATAGAACCCCAGTTCCATTCATGTTGTTTCACATGACAGAACCTCATTCTGTTTTATGGCTGAAGAGTACTCCATGGTGTATATGTCCCACATTTTCTTTATTCATTCATCTGTTGATGGACAATTAAGTTGCTTCCAGTTCTTGGCTATTGTGAATAGTGCTGCAATAAACATGGGAGTGCAGATATCTCTGATATACTGATTTCCATTCTTTTGGATATATGCGTAGCAGTGGGATTGCTAGATCATATGGTTAGTTCTATTTTTAGGTTTTTGAGGAACCTCTAAACAGTTCTCCATAGTAGCTGTACTAGTTTACAATTCCACCAACAGTGTATGAGTGTAAGAGGATTCCTGTTTCTCCACATAGTTGCCAGCATTTGTTATTGCCTGTCCTTTTGATAAAAGCCATTTTAACTGCAACGAGATGATATCTCATTGTCATTTTGATTTGCATTTTTCTGATGATAAGTGATGTTGAGCACTTTTTCATATACCTGTTTGCCATTTATATGTCATCTTTTTAGAAATGTCTATTCAGATCTTTTGCTCATTTTTTAATTGGATTATTAGATTTTTCCTATTGGGTGGTTTAAGCTTCTTATATATTCTGCTTATGAATCCCTTGTCAGATGGGTAGTTTGCAAATGTTTTCTCTCCTTCTATGGGTTTTTTTCTTCTCTGTGTTGATAGTTTCCTTTGCTGTGCAGAAGTTTTTTAACTATATATTTTCCCATCTGTCCATTTTTGCTTAGGCTGCCTGTGCTTATGGGGTACTACTCAAGAAATCTTTGCCTAGGCCAGTGTCCTGGAGAGTTTCTCCAATGTATTATTATTTTTTCTTTTTTTAGTAGTTTCATAGTTCGAGGCCTTAGATTTAAGTCTTTAATCCATTTTGATTTGATTTTTGTATGCGGAAAAAGATAGGATGCTAGTTTCATTCTTCTGCATATGGATATCCAGTTTTCCCAGCACCATCTATTGAAGACACTGTCTTTTCTCCAATGTATATTCCTGGAACATTTCAAAAATGAGTTCATTGTAGATGTATGGATTTATTTCTGGGTTCTCTATTCTGTTCCACCGGTCTATGTGTCTGCTTTTATTCCAATACCATCTGTTTTGGTTACAATAGCTCTGTAGTATAATTTTAGGTCAGGTAATGTGATTCCTACAGTTTTGTTCTTTTTGCTCAGGATAACTTTGGCTATTCTGGGTCTTTTGTGGTTCCATATGAATATTAGAGGAGTTGTTTTACTTTTTTAATTTTTTACAAAAAAATAACAGTGGTAATTGGATAGAAATTGAATTGATTCTGTAGATTGCTTTGGACAGTATGGGCCTTTTTTCTTTTATTGTACTTTAGGTTCTGGGGTACATGTGCATATCATACAGGATTGTTGCATAGGTACATACATGGTAAGGTGGTTTACTGCCTCTATCCCTCCCATCACCTATATCTGTCATTTCTCCCCATGTTATCTGCCCCCAACCTCCCCATCCCCAGCTGTCCTTCCCCTAGCCTACCCCCAACAGACCCCAGTGTGTGATGCTCCCCTCCCTGTGTCCGTGTGTTCTCATTGTTCAACACACACCTAGGAGTGAGAACGTGCAGTGTTTAATTTTCTTTTCTTGTGTCATTTTGCTGACAATGATGGTTTCCAGATTCATCCATGTCCCTACAAAGGACATGAACTCATCCTTTTTTTATGGCTGCATAGTATTCCATGGTGTATATGTGCCACATTTTCCATGTCCAGTCTATCATTGTTGGGCATTTGGGTTGATTCCAGATCTTGGCTATTGTAAACAGTGCCGCAATAAACATACGTGTGCGTGTGTCTTTACAATAGAATGATTTATAATCCTTTGGGAATATACCCAGTAATGGGATTGCTGGGTCAAATGGTATTTCTATTTCTAGGTCCTTGAGGAATTGCCACACTGTCTTCTACAATGGTTGAAGTAATTTACACTCCCACCAATAGTGTAAAAGTGATCCTATTACTCCGCATCCTCTCCATCATCTGTTGTCTCCAGACTTTTAATGATCGCCATTCTAACTGGTGTGAGATGGTATCTCAAAGTAGTTTTGATTTGCATTTCTCTAATGACCACTGATGATGAGCATTTTTTCATACGTTTGTTGGCCTCATATATGTCTTCTTTTGAAAAGTGTCTGTTCATATCCTTCGCCCACTTTTGAATGGTTTTTTTTTTTTTTTTTTTTTTTCTTGTAAATCTGTTTTAGTTCTTTGCAGATTCTGGATGTTAGCCCTTTGTCAGGTGGGAAGATTGCAAAAATTTTTTCCCATTCTGTTGGTTGCCGGTTCACTTTAATGACTGTTTCTTTTGCTGTACAGAAGCTCTGGAGTTTAATTAGATCCCATTTTTCTATTTTGGCTTTTGTTGCCAATGCTTTTGGTGTTTTGGTCATGAAGTCCTTGCCTACGCCTATGTCCTGAATGGTTTTGCCTAGATTTTCTTCTAGAGTTTTTATGGTATTAGGTCTTATGTTTAAGTCTTTAATCCATCTGGAGTTAATTTTCATGTAAGGTGTCAGGAAGGGGTCCAGTTTCTGCTTTCTGCATATGGCTAGCCAGT